TCTCTTGTTTCTCGAGCAGATGTCACTAATAAAAATGGCCTTCGGAGCAATTCCAAGCAATTATTGTGAAGCATGCTTGCCAGCAGGAAAATGGCCTTTTCAGGAGAAGCGCAGTGGAGCAAAATGTACTAGTGAGAGGATGTCTTCCAAGGTACAAAGAGATACAGAGGATTCAGACTGGAAATCCACGAGGATGAATGAGTGTTGTTTTTGTTGGCTTCTTAAAGGAGGTTCTACTATCTCTTTGTATCTATGAACTTTTTGACCATTAAGGCAAAGGGAAGAATATTGTCAGGAACAAAGAACCAGTACCACAGTATAAGTTCCAGTTAACCTGTTTTACTGCTAAAGTCTGTACATAACAGCTATCTGATACACTAGCAGTCCCAACCCCTAGGCTATGGCCCACTACTGGGCCATGTGAGTGGCTGGCTGGTGGCATGCATTTGCATGCACCATTCTACATGCACGAGCGGCAGGCAGACATGCATTCAGGCAGCTGAACTTGCCAGCAGCAGCCCACTTCCCCTCCCCTCCAGGCTGACAAGCCATAAAGGTTGGGGACCCCTATGAAATGATACATACATGAGAAGATATAACGCTAATGCTATACCCAGGAATATAGTCAACTAATGGTAAGCACTAAATGGGTGCTAAATAAGAGTTAGCAGAATTTAAGAACATCTGGACTTGGAACACTTGTGGGAACATAACAGATTCCTCTCTTGACTCTCTCCTCCCAGGCCCTGCCTGTCGTACTACCAGTGACGTGCGGTGAGGTTTATGGCTGGTGAGGCAAGCGGGCAAAAGCCACCCTATGTCGGACACAGTGCCGTGGCTTTGGCGGGCCTTTCAGAAAGCCCCGCTGAAGCCCCAATGCTGTGTCCGCCATAGAGGTGTCCCACGGGACATCTCTATGGCGGACACAGCACCGGGGTTTTCGGAAGGGCTCTACCACACCAAGGGAGAACCCACCTTTCTCCCGTCTCCTACAAAACAGCATCAGAAGGAGAAAGGGGCAGATTATATTAATGAAGACACCCCACACTTAAAGTGGTTTCCCCTTAGACAGGAAACGGAAAATGATTATAAACATGCCTGCTGAAGGGTCAGCCTCCACGCTTTAACAGTTTTGGGTTGCCGAAA